CAGAACAGTAGCTAAAAGCAGCAGAACAGTAGCTAAAGTTAGCAGAACAGTAGCTAAAATTAGCAGAACAGTAGCTAAAAGCAGCAGAACAGTAGCTAAAGTTAGCAGAACAGTAGCTAAAATTAGCAGAACAGTAGCTAAAAGCAGCAGAACAGTAGCTAAAGTTAGCAGAACAGTAGCTAAAATTAGCAGAACAGTAGCTAAAATTAGCAGAGCTGCAGCTAAAAGACCAAAGAAGCAGAAGCGCTGTGGAAAGTCATAAGTAGCGAAACAATAACAAACAGCTAAAAGAAGCAGAAAGCTAGAACAACGGTTTAATGCTGACTCAGCATTCTCTCTGAGGTGAAGGAGACAAACAAACAAACAAACAAACAAACAAACAAACATTTTATTAAAACATCTAAAAACTCACTGTTGATTTTATGTCCAACTGAACTTTTCTTTCTCCATCCATCCATCCATCCATCCATCCATCTATCCATCCATTCATTCATTCATCATCCATCCATCCATCCATCCATCCATCCATCCATCCATCCATCCATCCATCTATCCATCCATTCATTCATTCATCATCCATCCATCCATCCATCCATCCATCCATCCATCCATTCATTCATTCATCATCCATCAACCATCCATTTATCATCCATCAACCATCCATCCATCCATCCATCCATTATCATCATCCATCCATTCATCATCATCATCATCATCATCATCATCATCATCATCATCATCCAGTACTCCCAGCTACAACTACGCTCCAAACCCAGACAAGCACTGGATCATGCGCTACACTGGTCCCATGAAGCCCATCCACATGGAGTTCACCAACCTGCTGCAGAGGAAGCGTCTGCAGACCCTGCTGTCTGTGGACGACAGCATGGAGAAGGTACAGCTGGTACCTTCAGAACCTCCAACACGAACCTGTCTGATCAGGGAACTCAGAACATGTGTGTGTGTGTGTTTGTGTGTTTGTGTGTTTGTGTGTCAGCTGTACAACATGCTGGTAGAGACGGGCGAGTTGGAGAACACCTACATCATCTACACGTCTGACCACGGCTACCACATCGGACAGTTTGGTCTGGTTAAAGGTGGGTTCTGATGGTTTGGTCTGGTTAAAGGTGGGTTCTGNTGGTTTGGTCTGGTTAAAGGTGGGTTCTGATGGTTTGGTCTGGTTAAAGGTGGGTTCTGATAGTTTGGTCTGGTTAAAGGTGGGTTCTGCTGGGGTTCTTTAGAGCCTGTGGACCCGTCACACCTGTAATCCTAACCCTGGTTTTAATTCATGCCACAGGTAATGTTTCACCTGTTTGCAGGTAAATCCATGCCGTATGAGTTTGACATCAGAGTCCCGTTTTACATCAGAGGACCCAACGTGGAGCAAGGCAGCATGTAAGATTAGAACCAACGACCTGAAACCCATTAATCTGATGTCTGCTGGTGTTTCTCTCTGGGATCAGTTTGTTGTTTTTCACTGTCATTAAATGTAACATCAGTCCTGCTGTGATTCTTATTCCTCTGATTCTCCACACTGAGACTCTGACTGCAGGTAAGACCATGACTGATCAGAGCTCKTCCACATAAACACATTATGAGAATCCCCAGTGACCGGGTTGAGAGTCCAACTAATGAAAAATAAAAGAGATCAGCGTGGCAGCAGAATACATCACAGAACAAATCAGATTGTTCTGTTCTGCAGAGAGAAGCTGAGCGACAGGAAGTTCTCTTCTTCTTTCCTGTTTCAGCAGCTTTTAATGCAGATTGTTTAAATGTTCACCAGAACCTCCTTTTATCTGCTTTTATTTTTTATTTATTTTTTATTTATTTTTATTTTTTTTTTTGCTTTTTAGTTTTTTAAATCTCAGGGTTCCACGCTCAAGATTTTAGATTTTTCAACCCAACAGAAACATCTAGATATTCATGAAGGTTGTGTTTTTATTTACTGAAGGTTTTACAGATAAATTTATTTATTGTGTAAAATAATGAAAAACATGAACGGTTTTATTGAGTTCATAAAAACTCTGAGGCTTCCTGCTTTTAGAATCCAGACTGAGTAAATAAGTGGACGTTTCACCACAGATCAGCTCAGATTGTGTGTTTGAGACGACTCTCAGCTACTACCAGCCYTCTCTGTTTCAGAAACCCTCACATCGTCCTGAACATCGACCTGGCTCCAACCATCCTGGACATCGCTGGTCTCGACACGCCTCCTGACATGGACGGGAAGTCCYTCCTCACCCTGCTGGACACGGACAAACCTGCCAACAGGTACACTCACACATACAGGCTTGTATTTCTATCCTTATTAGGACCGTTCATTCACTTCCATTCATTTCCAATTGTTTCTATAGCCTTACCCAAACCCCACCAGTACTTATTGAACCCTGACTCCACCAGTACTTACTGAACCCTGACTCCACCAGTACTTACTGAACCCTGAACCCACCAGTACTTATTGAACCCTGACTCCACCAGTACTTACTGAACCCTGACCCCACCAGTACTTACTGAACCCTGAACCCACCAGTACTTACTGAACCCTGAACCCACCAGTACTTACTGAACCCTGACCCCACCAGTACTTACTGAACCCTGAACCCACCAGTGCTTACTGAACCCTGAACCCACCAGTACTTACTGAACCCTGAACCCACCAGTCCTTATTGAACCCTGAACCCACCAGTGCTTACTGAACCCTGAACCCACCAGTCCTTATTGAACCCTGACCCCACCAGTACTTACTGAACCCTGAACCCACCAGTACTTACTGAACCCTGACCCCACCAGTACTTACTGAACCCTGAACCCGCCAGTCCTTATTGAACCCTGAACCCACCAGTACTTACTGAACCCTGAACCCACCAGTACTTACTGAACCCTGAACCCACCAGTACTTATTGAACCCTGAACCCATCAGTACTTAACCCTCAACCTAACCCCTCCAGTATTAAAATAACCATAGTTTCACCGTCTTAGGACCGGTCTTTGGTCCTTACAGGAATAAGGAGTATTTTTGGTGACAAGGTAGGTGTGTACACCAGAAACTGTTCTAAAAATGTAACAAACACAAGGACACACAAACACACACAGCTGTAAATACAACGTTAGCACTGATGCTAAGTCTCTGCTAGCATGTGAGATACTTTTTAGTTTCTTTCAAATTTTTTTAATCCAGTTTTAAACTTGCTCTAAATAAAACTTTGTTCACTTTGAAAAAACATTTTAATGCTGATGATGTTGTTCAGGTTTCAGGTGAGCAGGAAGTCGAAGGTGTGGAGGGACTCGTTCCTGGTGGAGAGAGGGTAAATACACCTTCTGCCRCTTCAATGGAAAACTGATGAAGATGATTTATTGGTGGACAGTAGAAATGAGTTTTGGCTTTAAAACTCTTTCAGTCTGGGTTAGAGAGTACAACACATGGAGACGTTTTTTGTGTTTGCTGGTTTGATAAAAACAGACAAAACATTTTTTTCTTCTTCGTTGGTAAAAGATGCTGTTTGTTTGCAGGAAGTTGCTCCACCAGCGAGTTGAGGGGAAGGAAGTGTCGCTGGAGGAGAACTTCCTGCCCAAACACCAACGAGTGAAGGACCTCTGTCAGCGGGCCGAGTACCAGACCCCCTGCCAGCAGACTGGACAGGTACCCAAACAGCTTCATCAACACTCCCAGGTCCAGTACCGGTCCGGTTAGTCCAGTTCAACCAGTTTCATACTGGACCGGTCCAGTCTGGTTTCTGGTCCTCAGGACTGTGTGGACCCATTAAACCAGGTTAAACTCCTGAGTTCAAACTAAACCAGTTGTTAATGTTGTGTTTTCAGAAGTGGCAGTGCGTAGAGGACGCCACAGGAAAGCTGCGACTCTTCAAATGTAAAAACGAATGGGGAGGGGCTAAAAACCTCCAGAGGGGCGTGGCCAGCCGCCAGCGTCCAATCAGTATCAAATCCCAGCTGTATCTGTTGGACTCGGACGCCTGCAGCTGTGACTTCAGTGACCTCAGACACGTGAACTTTGGACCATTTGTGTCGAAGTCGTTCAACAAGAAATCTTTCTTTAAGAAAAGTGAGTTTGTGCCTCCGGCCAGCAGGGGGCAGCAGAGAGTCCAAACTGAAGAAAACACTGCCTGTAGACAGGAAGTAGTGTTTTTATTTAGGGTTTTTATTTATTTTATTTGTTGTGTTTACTGTTAGTGTTGAAGCTGTAACCTGCAGCGCCACCTGCTGGTCAGAAAACAGAATCATTTATTTCAACAGATCTGATCASCAGATGTTTAGATGAAACAATTGTTAGTGACGTGTCAATAAATACAGGTTATTTTCACATAATATCCCTTTCAGCTCCAGAGGTTTATTAGTATTTTTAAAATATAGAAATCTGAAAAATATTCTTTAGAAGAAACTTTTATTTCAGAAATCTTCAGTCCTGTCAGAATCATAAGCCTTATTTTTATTTTTTTAACGATAAAACTGAAAATTTTAGTTTGATTTTTGTTGTTTTTCTGCATCAGAATTCAAAACTCTGAAGAAATARTCAAAGAATCGTTTCAGCCGCTCTCTGACCGAGCTTTACGATCACCACGGTAACCGCAGCCTGGTGGGCGGAGCCAGTCCAGGTCAGCCAATGASAGACGAGTCTGAGGATGAGTCCAGTGGGATGGGAGGAGTTTCCAATGTTGCGGCTCCATCGAGCGCCATCAAAGTGACGCACAGGTCAGAGATGATTCGTTACCACCTGCAGGGGCGACCAGGTGACCCCMTTTATGTCTGTTAGCAAAATATCTGCAGCTGATAACCTTTAGACTCCAGATTACAAGAAACCTCATATAAATTTACAAAAATAGCAAAATCTGTTGCAGTACTACATAATAAGGTAAAGGAGTTATTTAATGATAAAGCACAGTTTATATTATATAACGCAATAATTGTTCCACTTTTGATTTATTGTGTTGAAATTTGGGGTAAGGCATGTAAACCATTTACTAATTCT